GGTGGGAGGCAGGGACCCTCTGTTCATTTCTGGACTTCTCAGTAGCCCAAGAAGAAGGACAGCAAAACCATCCACTCTGACCTCCTGGGAGCCCCCCCTGTTTTCTGCAGCCTTTGCATTTCAAAGGACATGCTGTGGGGTACGTGTACCTGCCCTGGTTTTTCCGGGGGGAGCTGAGTGCTTGAAGAAAATCCCACTGGCTTTGGGGGGTGCCGAGTGCCCTGTAACTGCCTCTGCCTGCTTGTTGTGTGAGTACGAGTTGAAATTATTCGTTTGTCCTCCGGCCTTTACTGAATTCACATTCTGGTACCAGACGCCGTGCTATGTCCCTTTTACCTGGAAGGTCGTTAGTCAACTCCAATAGGACAGCAAGGTTTATTTTTTGGGGGGGAGGAGAAGGGGGGAGGCAGAGAGGTTAATGACCCTCACCCTTTCAGTACAGTTCATAGACCGGTTCCTGTAAACAGCAGTGTTTTCCTCTCACGGAGGGTTCTGCACAAACACCAAGGCGGGTCGGGGTCAAGTGTCCCTTATACATGCGTAGGGCCCCCAAATCCAGATGATTCTACCACGTGACGGGCTGCTCCGCCCTGGATCAGGGACCGACCCCAAGCCAAGCTCAGCTCCATTCTCAAGCCACGGGGCGGTGAGAGTCGTCCTTGTTCTCGGGGGGCCTTCATCTCCACTTTCTCACACTCCCAGGGTGCTCGCTGCACCTAGGGATCTTCCTTACCAGCTTTTCGCTCTCCAAACACCCCTGTGGGCGATCTCAGAGGCGTGTCCCTCAAGTGAGCTGTAGGAAGCAAAAGCATGAATCCCAAGTCAACCACTTACTAGAGTTGTGATGTGGGGGCAGATTTTACTTAACCACTTTCAGCTTTCATTTTCTCAACCCTCAAGCAGGGATAGCGATGGCATGATATTGACTTCAAAAGGTCCTTGGGCAGATTCAACACATCTAAGACCCTGAGGCATGGGGCCTTTGCTCACTGTTATAGTCCCATTGTTCGATAACTATCTGAATGAATAAGTTCATGGAAAACATTAAGCACAGTGTGTGGCAGTCAGGATTCAATATTATGGCTTTTTATGTTAACACCAGAGTCCTTTGGCCTGGCCTGCGCCCTCTCGCAATCAGGGACCCCTCGGGGGATATTGGAGGGCCGATTTGAGCCTGATCCCCACAGGCCAGGCCGAGGGGCCCCATCGATCCCTCACTTCCACTCTTTCTGAAAATCAATGGAAAATGTCTTGAGGTGCAGATTAAAAAAAAAAAAGTACAAATTGGGGGTTACAGAATAGTCATGGGGGTGTGAAGTACAGGCTAGGAGTATAGTCAGTAATATTGTAACAACTATGCACAGTTCCAGACGGGTATTATGTTTATCGGGTGATTACTTCATCAGTTACGTAAATGCCTAATCACAAGGGTATACTAATATAACATTATATGTCAACTGTAATTTTAAAATAACAATATATTTTAAAGGGTTAATGAGGTCTGAAGTCATGAGAGCGCAGGGGCTGCTGAGAGCGGATTAGAACGAGGGGTCAAAGCCGACTGTTGAAGGTTCTAGAACACAGTGGGCACGTGGCCACGCATGGTCTCAGCCTGCTTGCCTCTCAGGCCTCCTCTTCCACGGAAGTTTCCAGTGAGTCAGGACCCCATCGCGGCAGTGAGTGCATCGATGGCTGCGGGACCAGCTCTACGATGTGCCGGGCGGACCCCATGCAAGATGGAAATGTAAGGCCCCTTGTTCAAAATAATATTAAGAATTTTAAGGTGGTGACAGCAGAGCAATAAACTAAACAAAGGACCCTTCTGAGCTCATCCATAAAACTGGGGTCCTAAATTTTAGATGGATGGATAGGTGGATAGCAAGATAGAAGATGATAGATAGATAGATAGATAGATAGATAGATATTGAGGTGGAATAAACAGATGGCCTCACACATGGGCCTAATACATTTTGAGCATCCAGTGATGAGACAGTAGGAGTGGGAAGGGGTCAATGTTTTATTTCTTGTGAAGATTCATTCATTCATTCATTCCCTCTATCCCTCTTCCTTCCTCTCTGTAAAAAGTCAATAAAATATATTTTTAAAAAAAAGAAAAATCAAACAAAAACCAAAAGGCAGACTCGACTCTAATTTTGCTTCCCTTTTTAAGTCCAGCGAATGTGACGAAAACAAAATCTTATCAAGAAACGTTCTTCAGGTCCTGGCCGGGGAGCTCAGCTGGTTAGAGTGTTGTCCCGATTCCCCAAGGTTGCGGGTTCGATCCCAGGTCAGGGCACATACATGAATCAACCAATGAATACAGGGGTAAGTGGAAAAACAAGTCTATCTATCTCTTGTCCTTTCCTCTCTCTCTCTCTCTTAAAAAATAAAAATGGTCTTCGGAAATTGAAAGGAAGAGGAGGAAACTTTGTTGACAGATGGTTTAAACTACCTGGAATAGGGAAATGTAATCAACTTAGAAGAAACTTTGTTCCTCTTACTTGGGGTCTTTCAGGAAGTCACATAAACGCTAGTATGAATATCAGATCATATATTCTATGGAAATTGTATGAAAAAAAATAAAAGGTACCTTTTATTGGTGCTGATAGTGTAAAAAATTCCAGTTCTGGTCTATTCTCAGAATGGCCTTCCTTCCCCTTTAGTAAAAGCGAAAGGATTAAAAAATAGACTTTAAAACAAAAGCTATAACAAGCGACAAAGAAGGACACAGCAATTCCACTTTCTGGGTATTTATCCAAAGAAACCTAAAACACCAAATTGAAGAGACATATGCATCCCAGCATTATTGACAATAGCCAAGATATGGAAGCAACCTAAGTGTCCATCAATAGATGAATGGATGGATTTACTATTATTTGTACTGAACTAAAGTATTCTGACTACAAGAGTAAAAAAGATATAGTCACCCTACACAACAGACATATTAGAAAGCAAATTGTATCTTCCAGAAGACAAATCTAGAGTAAGGACTCATGAGCTAGCAAGAAAAGTTTGCTTCCAAATCTATCTACCTTTTACCCAAGGAAAGAACATTCTGTTTGAAGACACCCTGGGGACAGTAACCTATTTCTATGTTAATTATGATAATACTCTGCCTAAGCACTCTTTTGTCAAAATGTAATCCCATTTTCTCTCATCTTGTACTTTGTATAAATTGATAGTGTGTTTCTTCCTTTTAATTAAAAAAAAAAGAAGTGGTGCATATATACAATGGAATATGACTCAGCCATAAAAAAGAATGAAATCTCACCATCTGCAACAACATGGATGGACCTGGAGGCTATTGTGCTCCGTGAACTAAGTCAGACAAAGACAAATGCCAGATGATTTCATTTACGTGTGGAATCTAAAAACCAAAATAAACAAACAAGCAGAACAGAAACAGACTCATAGATACAGAGAACATTTTAATGGTTGCCAAGTGGAAGGGGGGTTTGGAGGGATGGGTGAAAAAGGTGAAGGGATTAAGAAGTACAAATTGGAGCCCTGGCTGGTTGCTCAGTGGTTAGAGCATCGGCCCCAGGACTGAAGGGTCTCGGGTTTGATTCCCAGTTAAGGGCACGTACCTCGGTTGCAGGCTTGATCCCCCGCCCGGGTCAGGGCACATGCAGGAGGCAATCAATCAACGTGTCTCTCTCACATCCTTGTCTCTCTCTCTCTTTCTCTCTCTCACCCTTATCCCTCACTTCCACTCTTTCTGAAAATCAATGGAAAATGTCTTCAGGTGCAGATTTAAAAAAAAAGTACAAATTGGTGGTTACAGAATAGTCATGGGGGTGTGAAGTACAGGCTAGGAGTATAGTCAGTAATATTGTAACAACTATGCACAGTTCCAGACAGGTATTATGTTTATCGGGTGATTACTTCATAAGTTACATAAATGCCTAATCACAAGGGTGTACTAATATAATATTATATGTCAACTGTAATTTTAAAATAAAAATATATTTCAAAGGGTTAATGAGGTCTGAAGTCATGAGAGCGCAGGGGCTGCTGAGAGCGGATTAGAACGAGGGGTCACAGCCGACTGTTGAAGGTTCTAGAACACAGTGGGCACGTGGCCACGCATGGTCTCAGCCTGCCTGCCTCTCAGGCCTTCTGTTCCACGGAGGTTTCCAGTGAGTCAGGACCCCATCGCGGCAGTGAGTGCATCGATGGCTGCGGGACCAGCTCTACGATGTGCCGGGCGGACCCCATGCAAGATGGAAATGTAAGGCCCCTTGTTCAAAATAATATTAAGAATTTTAAGGTGGTGACAGCAGAGCAATAAACTAAACAAAGGACCCTTCTGAGCTCATCCATAAAACTGGGGTCCTAAATTTTAGATGGATGGATAGGTGGATAGCAAGATAGAAGATGATAGATAGATAGATAGATAGATAGATAGATATTGAGGTGGAATAAACAGATGGCCTCACACATGGGCCTAATACATTTTGAGCATCCAGTGATGAGACAGTAGGAGTGGGAAGGGGTCAATGTTTTATTTCTTGTGAAGATTCATTCATTCATTCATTCCCTCTTTCAGGGAACACTTTTTAGGCACCAGCTCAGTACCAGGCACAGTAGAAACACAATGGAAAACATAGCTCTGGACCCCATGGGTTCTACTGTAGAAACCAAGGGGAAAAAAATAAGCTTTCCTTGCAGGATAACTGTGATGAATGTGGGTGACATGGGCTCGACAGGAGAACCCAGCCCTTAATCCTGGCTTAGGTGGGGGGAGGCTTCTCAGAGGAAGTGACTCATGAGCTGAGGCCTGAGGGATGGGAAGGAGGGAGGCCAGCAGATGACTCGGTGGGGAAAGGTAAGGCAGTTAGAACAGAGGGAGATGGGAAGCAGGGCGGGAACTGCAGGAAATCCATGGGCCAGGAGCAGGAAGCCCAGGCTGGGCCGCAGCAACGTGAGAGCCATGCAGGAGAGAAGGGGCAGGAGATTCGTGAATAGCCTTTTAGATTTCATTCTTTTTAAAAAAATATATCTTTTTACTGATTTCAGAGAGGAAGGGAGAGGGAGGGAGAGATAGAAACATCAATGATGAGAGAGAATCATTCATCGGCTGCCTCCTGCACGCCCCCTACTGGGGATGGAGCTCATACCTGGGCATGTGCCCAGTCCAGGAATCGAATTGTGATCTCCTGGTTCATAGGTCCATGCTCAACTACTGAGCCATGCTGGTCGGGCCAGATTTCATTCTTTAAAAATTATAATAATAATTCAATGTATTTGACTACAGAAGGGATATATATGTTTTTTTGTTCAAAATTCAAAGACACAAATATATAAAGTAAGAAGTAAAAGTCTCACCCTGGCTGGTGCGGCTTGGTTAATAGAGTGTCGGCCTGCACTCCAGAGGGCCTTGGTGCATTTTGTGGTAATTTTGGGGTACAGTGCAAGGAAGGGGCCCGACTTCACTCTTTTGCATGTGGCTATCCGATTGTCCCAGCATTATTTATTTACTTATTTATTCATTTATTTGAAAGAGAGAGAGAGAGAAACCCAGGTATGTGCCCTTGACCAGGAATCAAACCCGTGGGCTGACGCTCTAACCATTGAGAACACCGGCCAGGGCCCTATTATTCTTAATTTTAAAAAAAAATTAGTTCCACCCAGTTCGTTGGCACACATTCAAGCTGTAATACGATCACTAGGCACGGAGACTCAAGTTCACCGTGCAAGTCATGGGTGATAAGTGAACTTTCCTCAAATCCCGGCGGAGCCACTGCCGTGGCTGTCGACATGATTCATTAGAACCAGTTTCTGTACAGCTCATGTGCTGGTAAGGAAAAGAACAAATACATAAGTGGAGGGTGCACGCAAGACAAAACATGCCCGCGGTGAAGGGAGGCCAGCAACGCCGCAGCAGGCCCCCAGTCCGAATGGGGGGCGGGGGCCGAGTTGACATTCTGTTTAGAACAGCGATTTCCACCCTTTTACCTCTCGTGCACACATCAACTAATGCCTGAAACTCTACAGCACACCAGAAAGGGTATTTTTTGCTGATCTGACAAAAATTAAAAAAAATAAAAAGGTATAATTTTGTTTCGCTCACACTGGACAGCTATTGTTGTGTTGGCTGTTGCCATGTTTTAATCTGACAACCTAAGGGGATGAGAGGGCAGCGCCCCTGGCGGCAGGGGCAGGTACTGCGTGTTTGACAGCCTGCGGCACGCCCGCACGGTTGACAAATCCCTGGTTTAGGACGTGAGAACTTGGGAGGAAGCTTGAAGCGAATCCTGTCACTTACAGTGAGGAAGCGGAGGGGTTCAGAGCTGGTTCAGGACGAAGCCAGAGCCACCGGCCTCTCCAGCTTTTCTCTTTTTTTCAAGCTTAACAATATCGGTTATTCTTGTCTAATTTTGTCCAGGACAACGAATTGATTTTTTTCTCTCTCTCTCTGTCTCTCAAATCAATCAATAAAAAGCAAAAACCTACACAAATATTATAAAATAATTAAAAAAAATAAAAAGGTATAATTTTGTTTCGTTCACACTGGACAGCTATTGTTGTGTTGGCTGTTGCCATGTTTTAATCTGACAACCTAAGGGGATGAGAGGGCAGCGCCCCTGGCGGCAGGGGCAGGTACTGCGTGTTTGACAGCCTGCGGCACGCCCGCACGGTTGACAAATCCCTGGTTTAGGACGTGAGAACTTGGGAGGAAGCTTGAAGCGAATCCTGTCATTTACAGGTGAGGAAGCGGAGGGGTTCAGAGCTGGTTCAGGATGAAGCCAGAGCCACCGGCCTCCCCAGCGTTTCTCATTTTTTCAAGCTTAACAATATTGGTTATTCTTGTCTAATTTTGTCCACGACAACGAATTGATTTTTTTCTTTCTCTCTCTGTCTCTCAAATCAATCAATAAAAACCAAAAACCTACACAAATATTATAAAATTGTAAAATGTAGAAAGGGAGGGTCCCTTGCAAACTTTCGCTCCCAGAAATAACGTACTGGTCGGTTTCTCTGATTTGTGGTTAATCAAGACCCTTCGGATTGCTGTTCGAGCATCACAAGTCCACATCTGTCCAAGAAGAAAGCCGAATGGCCACAGGCAGCAAGGCCGGGAAGCAAATGCCAATCATTTCACGGGAGACTAAGACGCCCACACAGCGAACGTGACCTCAATCCAGGGCAGCCTTGCAGACGAGGCAGTGTGTGGTCAGGACACGGGCTTCGATGCCAGGGCCGATCCACACCCACGCTCTGCTCTTTTTTTTTTTTTTAAATATATTTTTATTGATTTCAGAGAGGGAG